TGAATTGAGAAAGCTTTTCGACGCTGAACGTCGGTCACTTTGACACGATTGTGAATTAGCACATTTGCCGGCTTTATAGTCGCACAACCCTTTCGATGGATGATGGAAAAATACCGTTGAAATTTAATCGCGAAATATTTCTTTTTAGAGGTTTCCGCAATTCTTGATTCCATCAGGATTATCCATTTCCTAATTTTATTCCTATGTCAATTTATACTTTTTTATTAAATGAAAATCTGTACTGATAACATCTTATTATTATATTGTTATATTGTTTAGAATCTAAACAATAATAAGATATTAATAACAATATTACTATTATCTAAATTTTAAATATAATATATTAATATAATATCATTATATATAAAATAATATATAAAATTTTAAATTCTACAGATTATGATTATAATAGAAAAGAAAAAATTATAGTAGTCATATTTTCGCATAAAAATCAATATTTAAATCGAAAATAACATTCTTCATTCTTATTTAGAATATTCATAGTCTCTCTGATTAATCAATATATAAATCGTAAACGATGCTTGCAGAGGTATATCAAGATGTGCTAAATGGAAATGGATTGAGACGTGTCTTGCAGATTATTTCGAGATCTATTTCCGAAGGATGTTCACGGCAAATTGCCGAATTCGTCACACGACGACCCTTCGCTACCCTTAATCCTACAGTTCCGTACTCTGCGTATACGCAATATGCGTGTACGTCGTTTAGCGTTTAGTGGTCCACGAAGAAGTCCATGACGAATTATGGAATCCTTCTCTAAGCTTTTCCAACGATCCTGGCACCTTGACTGCCGTTATTCTAAACGTAACATAGCGTTGCTAAATGTCTTCACGCACTACATAATACCACATAATACACGAAGCCTCTAATAGATCCTAGAAAATCTATTTACTAAATCTTTATATATATTACGATGTTTAAACTGAAATTATTTCTTTGAAAATCTAAGTTCCAAAAAATATTTTAACAAACAATTATATAATAAATTATTAATAAATTATCGAATAAATGTCTAAATGATAAATAAATTCGTATTTTGAATAATTATATTCATTATCATTATCATTATTATTTGCAAATAAAATATACATATATAATCAATTTAAATTAATTCAGTCATAATCAGTTTCGATCAATTCAAATTAGTTAATCATTGTAATAAATGTTCCACATAATGTTCGAGCAATAAAACTGCTGATTAACTTTTTTAAAAATATCGGAATATAATTTTCTCAAAGTCTTTCTTATATATTTTTTTACATTTTCAATAAATTTTATCAATATATTTTAAATTTAGACAAATTCAAAAGCGTTTGTATAATTAGCCAATATTTGAATTCGTTAAATTCGTGTAGCCTCAAAATCATCACAGAAAACACCATAAAATGTTCAAATCAAGTTCAAATGACTGCATGATCTAATATTAATTTAAATTTAAAATTTAATATATAAATATTATTTAATTTAAAATCTAAGTATTATCATAAATGTATATATGATTTTGAGCAGATTTTATACACAACATAAAAAATATACAATTCCAAAATTTGACATTTAGTGAGTATAGATTCAGATTTTTATAAAATCGATTTAGAATAATTAAAATAAATATACGTAAAAAATGATCAAATTTTTAATAAACTAATTAATTCTCGACATTTATGCCATACCATGTACATATACTTTCTTTCCCTCTCCCTTGAGATTCTATGTATTTCTACAATTATACATAGCAATAAAAGAACCAACGAGTATTTTATTTGCCTCATAGAAATTTCAATATTTCTTTTCATCTAACTTCTTATCTGTCCATCTGATGCAAAATCAAATATAAAAATGTAAGTATAAATCTCAAACATATATATTTGAACGTATGTAATTATTAATTAGGAAAATTATTCTATTATATTCACATTTATTTATATAATAAATGAACATATCGTATCTCCGACGTCTAATTTGTGTGCCAAATTTTACACGAAAAGAAAACTCGGGCTCATTCATCAGACTTTTTTGATTCTTATAAGCCAACTGACAACAATCGGATTACGCCCGTGTTCGACTTAAGCTCGTCGAGCGAAAGTCAAGAGCTTACAACGGGGTTACACGAGCCTGCGGCTGCAAAGTGACGCACCGCGACACAAAACGATCGGATTTGTGTCTCGGACGATACAAAACCAGAGCGACGAGGTGCCGCCGTGTGTGCCTCGTTTCGGGTTCCCCTTTTTCCACAAGTAAATTTGACGTTGGCCAAATAAACACATTGAGGCCGGCTACGTTTGAAGTGGTCCTCGTTGACAGTGGGCGACCCGTGAACATCGACGCGATTGTTCCGCAGCGGGTCGGCACCTTTTGGATTCTCAGGGGCGGTTCCCTTCCAGGGCCCTTCCGATGCCGCCGATATAACTTCTGGACGCGTTCCTTTCCTTGTAAAAATCAGGATCATTCTGCGCGCGTTTCACGAAAAAGTACACCGCGGCATCTCAAAGGATGCTATTATCGTCATTCGTTCGCTCATTCATTCGCGGTCATTCGTTCGCTCATTCATTCGCGGTCTCGAGTCTATCACCTTGCACCTTGTCATTCCTGCAGGTATCTTGCGAAAAATGGATATCGATACAATTCAAACGTGAATATAAATCAGACATTGACTTAAAAATGTTCCAATTGTTTTTAACAAAAAACAATTTAGATTTATAATCTATATTAAATAAGGAAAATTAAGATTTAATTTTTTAATTAGAATAACATAAGCTCTTTATTATAACATAAAAAAAGAGTATATCAATAGACGAACAATATTCTAATTTGTTCAACACAATAAGCATAATAAAATAAATAAATTTGACGACGACTGTGCAATAAATAAAGATACTCTTTTTTTATATTATTTTAAAGGAAATTAAAAAATTAAATCTTAATTTTCTTTATATGATACATATATATGTACACATACATACAGTTATAAGCTTTTTGTCATAAGGAAACTAAGTGAATATAAATTGATATAATCTAAAGAAATAATTTAAAGAAATAATTATAACAAACACAATGCAAATACATTCCATTTATATAATATATTTGAAAATTTAATATTTAATGTAAAAGATTTGAGTTTTGTACATGGATGTATTTTGTAAACATATAATTTATAATAATTTTTATTATCATTGCATTGTAATTGCATATTATTAAAAATTGATGTAAGATCGGTTATGTAGAATATAAATAATATGCAACATCCTACTTCATAAACTCGATATTATCATATATATGTATGTTAAATGTACATAGCCTGTATATATTGTTTATTTATAATATCTTTTATTTATTTAAAAGTCTGTGTATCCATTATTTTAAAAATCCAATAAGCATAAAACTTGTTTTTCCATTTTTGAATAATAAAAAAAGGATTTAGCAAAGGTATATTTAACAAATCTATAAGAGTTTATAAGTATCAATTTTCAAAACAACAATACGCGTGATACACATATCTAAGACCAACGGTATAATTTCGACAATAAAAACTTTTTGTTTATTTGACATTCTCAATTATTATGTGGAAATATTTATAAGACCATACGCTATAGGAAAATATGTATTCATACAAATATATATACATATACATATGGGAAAATTAAAATTATTTCTTTTTTATTTATAATTCAAATAAGAAGAGAAGAGATAAATTATACATCTACACACATGCATATTATGTGTGCACGCATATGATATTCAAGTTTCTAAAGTCTCATATTTTTTGTATATAATATACATATATTATATAATAAAAATACCTATATATAATTACGAAAACGATTGAAATTGTAAATAATTGTAATGTGTTTATGTGTAATGTGTTTATATGTATAATGCACAAATATATATATATATATATTTATATTTAAAGAAAAATATGTTTTCATACACTTTCCATTTTCGATAATTGATTTCAATTTTATAATTATATAAAAAAACAGATAAAATTCTATAAAAATTATAGAAATTTATCTATCATATTTATATAATTACAGATATACTCTGTATGTGTATCTGAAATGATGCATTAAACTTTAGGAGCGTATTCTAGAGGTCAAAATAAGACTTTCTTTTCTTATAAACATGGGTCCGCAAATAAACTCTCCTCCAAGCTAAAATTCGAAAATGTGTGAAATTGACCAAACACCCACAACGCAAATTTATTTATCTTTCAAGAGAGGATGATAGGTAACGTCAAAACCAAGGTCAAATAATTTTTTTTTTGAAATACAGCCAATTTTCAATTTTTTCATCAAACTTTAGGGGCTTCTAGCTCGGAGGGGAATTCACTTGCGGATCCATGTTTTTAAGAAAAAAAAAGTTTACGCTCCGAAAGTTTAATGCATCATTTTAGATACATCCTGTATATATATATGTATGTGTGTGTGTATATATATATATAATTATATATATTATATATATTTTATTTATTTATATATATTTATATATTATATATATTTATATTTATTATATATATTACATATATATATCGAAACAATACTCGAAAAACTTCTGACAATGAAAAATTTCTATTATATTCTAAAAGATAGATTATATATATATATATATATATATATATATATATATATATATTTATACACATACATATACATAAACTTTTTGTCATTATAAAGAAAACGTACGAATATAAACCGACATAATCTAATTAATTTATAAATAAAAAATAATTATAACAATCATGATGCAAATACAATTCTATTTATAAAATATACTTGAAAGTTCAATATTTAAAATAAAGGATTTGAATTTTATCTTTAACATAGATGTATTTTATGAACATAAAACTTTTATTATTATTACATTATAATTAAATACTAGATTGATATAATTATCGATTATATAAGAGTAAATAATATTCAAATATTGTATTTTATATATGTGAATTTTTAAAAAAATAATGTTTACATAAAATGTACCCATAATAAAATAATCGAAATAAAAATTTATTACTACTTACAGAACTTACAAAGTTTACGAGTCAGAGTGCGTTTTTAAGTGTATTTTTAAAGTAGTTTTGTTGATGAAAGCTTTCGAACAGATTGGACATGGATGTGCACGTGCCAGATGTTGCTTCAAGTGTTCGCTAAACGCCACATTGCTCTTAAAGAATTTTTTGCAGATGTTACACTTAAGACCTTCCTCAGTGTCCAAATGAATCCTTGTATGCGAGTCAACTTCTCCAACATTATCAAATTCTTTAGAACATACCCGACAGCTGAACTTTACTGGTTGGAGAATACCTATTTGACTTCCAGTTAAAGGATTTGGCACTGGAATTATTTTGTTGGTCTCATTAATATTACAACTTAAGCCTTCTTTCTTTCCATGAGAACTTAAATGATTCCTGTAATATTTCAAAATTATGTTAGAGTACATAAAACAATATATATATACATATATATATAATGTATTATTTTATGGAAAAAAAATCTTGATTATTTATAATTTAATTTATTACAGAAAAAGAGAAATTAATAACTTGATATATAAGCATCTTTTATGTAGTTATAATTATATACATATATATAAAAACACATTTTCTAAGTATACATATTTATAATTTAAAAAAATGTTTAATATTCATATAAAAGTAATTTACCTGTAGGCTTGATCACTTTTAAAACTAATATTACAATTCATACATCGATAATCATTTTGTGGAGAGATTATTGTAGTTATAGGAGGAGGTGAAACTTGAAGAAGAGATTTCTGTACTTTTATCTTAGGATGCTCCAAACAATGCTGCTTGACACTTTCTTTTAATTCAAATGTCTTTTTACACTGGTGACACTTGTATGGACATAATGGATCAGTACTCACATGTAATCTTACATGTTTGTCATAACTTGGTTGAGAATTGCATTCTGTCTCACAGATATCACATGTAAAATGTTTTCTAATATGCATATATAATGCTTGTGGATTTGGAAAATTCTTGCTACATATGGTGCAAGAGTAGCTTTTGATTTCCTCTTTCTTTGTAATGTAATATTTATTACATAGTTCACATTGAAATGCTAATCTTGAATTATATACACATCTTCTTAACTTGCAATTGCCTTGAACACAAGGTTTCTTAATAAATAATGGCCGAAGCTTGCTTTTTTCTTGTTCGTTGGTCGCTTTTGTATCATTATTAAGCATTAATAAAGGCAATATCTTTTTACACTTTGGGCCTGGTTTACCTCGTATCTTATCGATTTGTATTATTAAGCGATATGTCTTAGTATTTGTTTGGAGATTCTCTTGCAATACAGAACTTGATGTGGCAGAACCATTGACAGCCACTGTTTCATCAGCTGATGCATTTGCTTTATTTCCACTAGTTGTATCTTCAGCCTGCAATGTAAATATATATAAATATAAAAAATAGATAAAATAGCAATATATATTCTTAAAAAAATGGATTTACATTATCTTGCGTGAATGGACTCTGCGGTGGTGTCACTAAAGTATGTGAATGTTCATCTAACTTTTTTTGTTTCGCTGGTTCTTTTTCTAATACTTTTTCAACTTTATTTAGTTTCCTTGGAGGTTCTGCAAGGAAATAAATATACATGATTGCAATACTTTATATATAAGTATACTAAATAAAATAGACTGTACCATACACATATATAGAATAGAAATGAATTAAAATACTTGTATAACTATATCTATAAATAATTTCAATATATTTAAAGTATATAAATTCTTTTTAATATATAAACCCTTTATATTTTTAATGTATATAAATATAAACTTTTATTAATTATAAATAATATAAAGAATTAAAATGATTAATAATTATTTAATCCAAGTAAAATTAAAGATACATATATAGACGATTTATTCTCTCATATATATGATCAAATATTTAAACAATGGAACAATCTATCAAATTACTTATTGAAAAACATTTTTACAGATATAACTTTCTATGTAAGCTTACAAACCTTCAATTCTACCAAACAGAGTGGGTACGGAGTTTGACTTCAAATCTTTCGATGCAGTGAAGTTATTTCTCTCAAAATGCAGCTCGCAGAGATGCAGAGGTTTATTATTATCATTGACGATACCAGACGCCAAGTTGCAATTGTGAAGCCATTGATTCTTCCTTCTGCAATTCACCATAGAAGCAATTAATAACTCGACACCGACAATTAATCATTCCTGCAGAAGGGATACACTTACAGATCGTCGTCTGGGAAAGGGTAGAACGATATCGGATTACCATCTATCCTCGTGGTCTGGGTGGAGGGACATCCATTGGCCGCGCAAGTTATCATTGTACCTCGACAGAGATCCTCACGAATGAAAGTACGATACTAACTCATCGGTCTGGGACACTATATCGTAAATAGCCTATAACCTCTGAAAAACGAAACTTGAAACTTGAATTTCGCCGCAATTGACGCGCAAAAATCAAAATCTACGAGCACTGTAGATAGGAAACTATACTATATGATACAGAGGAATAAGCGCATCACGCACGACGAAGAAAGATCAGAAATATATCTTCGAGAAATAACTGGATGATGCGAATTTTCTACGCAAGGATAAGTACGCCATATTGAATATAAGGAGCAGCATCAACCAATCGTGTCCCATTCGATATATATCGAAAGATCGCAGCAGAAATGACGCGGCCAATCAAGCTCGCTGTCGGCCTCGTGGTCTTGAACGCTCCTGTCAAAAGACGGATTTTATGCACTTTATTCGAGATGATTTGTTTGTACGTTAAAAAAATATATCGACGAAATCCGAGATGAAAAACTCTTAGAAAGGATTTTTCTCGACTTCTTTGTAGAGTGGAATTCGAAAAACTTCGATTTTCGACTGAACGAAAATCGCTCGAGGATCGAGCGGGAAGATCGACTCGAACAGCTGATATAAGCGCGGTCGATCGGAGTCGCTTCGTAGTCGTGCGTGATACCCGTAGCATATACGCCGGTCGTTATTTACAGAGCTACGGGGTTCTTTGAACCTCGTTAAACTGAATTTGGATGGGTCGGACCTGATCAGCGAGATGATTGTTTTATACGAAATTTCAAGGCAGGCGCGATCGCGATTTCAAGTAGTAATAGATTTATCACGTTGAATTATCGCTAGCTTATACGTCAGTTTTATATAAATATCTGTGTGTAACATTTGAGAAGTTTATATTGCTGTGATTTGATAAAATTGCAAAAAAATCTCACAAGTTGCGCTTCCGCGACGTTCGTAATCGTTGGCGTGATATTTGAAGAATTTCTCAATAACTGATATTTATAAAATTGTAAAAACATTATAACGAGTTACTCGTGCGTGTATATAACGAATCGGAAAAAATTGTAAATAAGAGGCTTTTAATCAAATTTTCCTTGTGTCTTAATTACGATTTCTCTTTAATTAATGGTTCCCGCGCGCAACAATATGTTTCTCGTTTGCGTGACCGTGGGACTTGTCTTTTTGGCATCGAAGTATCGCAACAACGTGCTTCGTAGCGTCAAACATTTATATAAAAACATAAAAAATCGAGATAAAAATCCAAACGATAAAAACGATAATAGCTGTAAGAATCAATCCGAGGAAGATTCAGTTGAAGATCAAGATAATAAAGATGATAAAGATTTAAATAACAATGAGGGTAACGATGACAACAAGGAAATTAAGCTTATATTAGACAAGATTATTCTGGCAGACTCTCCGGAGAAATGCGATTACGCTGTACAACGTATTCGCTGGTAAGAGTATAATAATTATCATGTGCTCCCATAAACGATATTCTCATATATCGTGCGAAAATTGCACGTTAAATGTTAGAACGAATATACGTTATTATCTGTTATAACTTTTCATAATATGAATATCGAAACGGTCGTTTTCGTAATTATTGTTTACATTTTTTTTTTCAAAAGTACTATTGAATTTCAAACTGTTGTGTATAAGAAAGATAGCACATGTGCCCTTGAAATTCTTGCAGAAAGATCCAGAATATTTGTATATTATAATGCTTAGCAAATTAAAATATTATATGAAAGAAAATTTATTTATTATATATATTTTATGTATATGATTTTAAAAAAAATTAAAACTAGAAAACAAATTTTATTATGATTAATTAAAAAGGAGCAGGAATTTTAATTTTTCCTAAATTTCTCTTTCATATAAATTTACATTGAAATCTTTCTTATATTGCTCGTTTTTAAAAATCTTTTAATAAAAATATATTTTTATATTTTAAAATATCATTTATGATTTTTATCTCATTATAGTAAAATTATTAAAATTAATTACATATACTTGTTTGATAGTAATCTGTCTGATGGCGTACTTGGTTTTGATTGCGAATGGGTCAAAGAAGGGCCAGTTTCTCTGTTACAATTAGCTACGTATAATGGAGTAGTTGCCCTATTCCGTCTAGGGAAAATTGGATATGTTCCACCTAAACTTAAGGTATATTTTCCAAAAAGTATACATCTTATACAATGCATAAAACATTAAGAAAATTAATTTCTAATAATATATGTTGTATTTGTTCATAGGAACTATTAGCTACTAAACATATCCTTAAAGTTGGAGTTGCTTCCTTCGAAGATGGACAGAAGATAGTGAAGGATTATGGATGTAGAGTTAGTGGAACTCTTGATTTAAGATCTTTAGCTGAAAACCTCCACTTACCAAGCCGGAAAAGCTTAGCTGCCATGAGTTTAGAATATCTTAACATTGAGATGGACAAAATAATAGAAGTGAGGTGCGGTGACTGGGACGCTAGCACCCTATCAGACGAACAAGTGGCATATGCTGCTTGTGACGCGCTTGCATCCGTTATCATTTATCATAAAGTAAGGAAATTTATTTAAAAAGCAATATTTTTTATAATCACTATAATGAATTATATTCTTGATATTTAAATTTTGTTGTAGATAATGCAAAAGGAAAATGCAAAGTATTCATTCTGGCAAAGAGTAGGGATTTATTTGTATAATATATTAAGCAATGATGTAAACGTACGAATTCATGGCGTGCCTGCTAATACAGTTGATACGAGGTACGAAAATTTATGAATTATTTTTCATATAAATTATATGTATTCAATTTATATATATGTATATATGCATGAAGAATATGCAAGTATATATCTGTTTAAGGTTCAAAGATCAGCGATCACCAAGTGTAGATAGTCTTACTAATAATAACATTTTAAATATTAAGAAGAAAACACCAGTATTAGATAAAGACAATAGCAACGAACGTAAAAGTACGATTCCTACAAGGATTAAACCATTATATCATAATTGTTACTTACAAGCGCCTGATGGAGATATATTGTGTACATGCGACCGCAAAAAAGCGGAATGGTATATTACGAAAAAATTGGGAGAACTTGTGGAGACAGAGCCATATACAGTAAGATTAAATTTCGAGCCATCTGGTCGAGCATTGGGAGAAGTTGGGCAATATTATACGCAAGTAAAAGTTAATCAATGTGTAGTCTGTGGATGTGCAGAGAAATTTATTAGGAAGAACGTCGTGCCGCGAGAGTATCGAAAATATTTCCCATGTAAGTACCTTTTTTTCTCTATAGTAATACATCATACAGTGATATAAATATAATTAAAGATGACAAAAATGATACGAAATGATTGATGATGGATGTGTTAATGCAATAATAATTATAATATAGTGATATGGAATGATTGATGATGGGAATGTATTACTGCAGTAATAACTATGCAATATAACACAAATATAAATATATATACTTGTTTTTGTGTGTATAAAATATTGTATAAAATATCAGATTTTTTTTTTAGTGGTAATGAAAGCACATCAATCTCACGATGTATTATTATTGTGCCCACCTTGTCACGAAAGTAGCAATAATCATGATCTGCAGCTCAGAAGAAAGTTAGCAGACATGTGTGATGCACCACTAATTGGGCCGATGACGCATGTACGAGATAAATACATGCAAAACTATAGAAAATTACTCTCCGCTGTTAAAGCCTTGAGGGAAAGAATGTTGTTACCTCCGCGACGACGCGAAGAGCTCGAAAGATGCGTACTAGAACACACAGGACAGCAAAAAATTACTCCTGATTTGCTTAATGCTTTGCACGAACAATTGAAGAATGCATTAATTCAACAACCAATTGCTAATCAATTTAAGTTTCAACCACATGGCTTGAAGGTATTTATCTAATATGCAGACATGGATTTTTCATATCGATACTGATTCTAATCCTTATCCAATAGGTCGTACAATATTTTCAAAAAAAAGAAGGTGGACTCATTGAATTGGAACGTATGTGGAGAGAACACTTTCTTACCACAATGGAACCAAAATACTTGCCAAGCTTATGGTCTGTACGCCACAATCAAGAGCGATTGATCATACGCCAGGCACAGAATAGAATCGAACCACAAGATGCGAAGGTAGCTGGATTAACAAAATAGCGCTATAATTTGAAAACTGTAGCTAAAAGAAGTTTCGTAAAAGAGCGAGAACTTGAAAAAGTTTTATACAAATCAATATATCTCCTGAATATACGTACATATATACATGGATAATATATCTCTCTTATTTACATTTACATCTCCACGCAACATGATGCAATAGTTCCTAATCCTTAAATCATATATTTCAATCCAGAAAAAAGAGAATCCAGGACAGTATTTTTATACTTATATAAGAATCTTAAATATTAAATGCATTGAACTTATTTAAAATTTGAAACGTTAAATATGTAAACAATATGGTACAAGTTTAAAGTGTTCAATCAAGGTACAAGTTTAAAGTGTTCAATCAAGTTGACGCTTCTAAAATAATTTATCACATGTTACAAATATGTACCAAATAAAAAGGATAACTGTGCCATGTTGAAATCACTTCAATTAAGAGATTAGAATCCACTATTTATTATATCTTATGTACAAGAGTTTCTAGAATTAGTAAATTTAGACTAGAGGTGAGTTTCATGGCTGCCTAGAAGCTTCCTGATTGCTCGTCGGGTCTGTTGGTGGAGGTGGAGGTGCCGTTGCTCTCTGATTCCTCAATTCCTCGTCTATGCGTTCCTTAGCGCGTACAACCTTCGACAGCAGGTAGAACGAACCGCCCTTGGACCTGTCATTAGCTTCCATGAGGTACTTGTAGTTTCGCTCGATCAGCTCCGTCTGATCGGGACGCTCCGCGTCGAGGATCCGGAGGGCCTCGTCCAACGATATCCCGGTTCTCGTGTTGGCGGCAGCGTGTTGCGCTCCCTGCCTCCCCCCGCCAGCTCGTCGCGCCGCCTCCTGACTCGCCGCGATCTCCTGGCGCAAAGCGCGCGCGAACGCCTTGCCGACGACCTGCGTCCCCATGACGATGATCTGTATCAGGTACTTAGCCATAGCTTAACCTAATCTTCCTCTGACACTACGGACGCCGATGCGAGGTGTCACGCTGATGTCGCCGACGATTTTCTTTCACGCTCCTGACCGGCTGGCGACCGAGACCAGCTGGGCTTCGAGTCTACGTCTGTCTGCGCGAGTCCGTACTCTCGCCCGAACATTAGCGGTAAGACGTCTACCACGGGGAGACCTAACCCTGATCGCTGCGAGGTGCCGCAATCGTAACTCGCGCCATGCTACGAAACATTCCTCAAGCCACGTTCACACGTGGAGTAGATTGCAAGCAGAGAGGAGACTGAGAGATGGCTCGCTTTTCGGCCGGGTCTACAATAGATAATTTAAGCCTTAAGAAATTGACCAATCACAGTCAAGTATGAAGAGAATACTCGGCTGTGATTGGTCAATTTCTTAAGGCTTGAAGCTTAAATTGCCTATTGTACACCTGGCCTAATGGAGCACCTAGAGATTCCTTTAAATATTATATGATTCTATTTAACAATTAAAGAAATTTAAAAATAAATTAGAATAGAAAGAGCAAATCTATTATCAAAATTGTGCAAATTGGCGAGTGGACGGTGGCGACTTCTCAATCCTACAGTCATAGACATCAAATACATAGACTGTTCATCTAAAAATATCCCATGGACGTAAGAAATATTGGACAGAGTGTATTGCTGCGGGGGTGAAGCTCAAAGGGTGAGGGGAAAGAAATGTCTACTGCAACGGAATATGAGGCATGTAAGATGGCGACGGATATTAATTTCATGGAGTGTGATATTTTTGAATTTCTTAATATTCAAAAATGATTCGGAATAACACAGCAATTTCAGATGATAGATGATTTCACGGAATCTCTCATATTTTATTCGATTTACGTCCGTGCGACGTGAAAATAGACGCTAAATCTGATGCATCTAAGATGGCCGCGACAATAAACCCCTTACCCCTCAGATTTCACTCCCCTCGTTTAAAAGAGTACTTTATGCTCTGTCCAGTATTTCTTACGTCCATGATTTATATAGATTCAAAATACATGTACAAAAAAATATTAATTAATCACATCAGCGGTTGAGTCCTTCGAATGCGACCATATTATTTGTACTAGACGAATTATTGATTGATTTTTCCATGCGTATATACTTTACGAATTTTTCGTATTTACGACTCACGTGGTGGCCAATCAATTTCCTGCTTCGGCCAAAATAAAATAGCGAGAGATGATTGGCTGGAGGCATTAAAGGTACCTTTATATGGCAGCATCGGGAGCGTCCCATTTGACGTTGCAATTAATCAAGGTGCAATTTCATTGACGCTAGAAACCAGCGGCAAATTAAAATAGACTTTCTCTAGATTTGGCGTCAATAAAATAAAGTTCAACAGTTTTAACTTTTTCAGTGTGTAAAGCGGCCTTTTCATTGACGCTACTTTTTAGCGTCAATGAAATTGCACCTTAACAGTTGGCAGCCCTACGAGATAGGCTGTGCAGCACTGCGCGTATATAAAATAAATTTGAAATCGCTTCTAGCCTAACCATCTTCACGCGATCGACTTTATTTGAATTGCACGGCATCGCATCGAATTATGATGCGGCGCCGATTTGTTCGAACGTAATTCGGGACATCGCGATACTGTATAAGCGTCGAATGAGCACGAATTGTCACGCAAATATGATAAATCACATCTACTCACCGTTCACCGGCTGTTCCACAGGCCGCTCCACTCGCTCGCCTCGGGACGTCCCATTCCGATCTTAATGCACACGATATCATCAACGCGAACGCGCGACACTTTATTCGGCACTCCCGATATTCGCTCGCATCCGATAATCATCATCAAGGGCGCAAATAACGCGACGTGACTTCACTCCATCTTCGCGATCGCGCTATCACTGAACTGTGAAAAATAGCTGTCGCGCACTTTCACCGACATATTATGAAAGTCGCGCGATCATCCTTGGACACTTTCGACGCTCTTTCACTCGCGATATTCGTTTAAAAACGGTTAAAAGACGCGAAAAATGCGGACGTACGATGATCCGTGTAACTGCGTGACTCCGATTCACGTATGACGCGTATGACGTAGCAGTCACGCGCTAACATGGCGGCCGAACCAGTGCGCATTCGTTTCTGCGCACTGGTTCGGCCGCCATGTTGGCGCGTGACTGTACGTCATACGCGTCATAGCTACGTCATACGCGTCATACGTGAATCGGAGTCATACGCAGTTACACGGATCGTCGTACGTCCGCATTTTTCGCGTCTTTTAACCGTTTTTAAACGAATATCGCGAGTGAAAGAGCGTCGAAAGTGTCCAAGGATGATCGCGCGACTTTCATAATATGTCGGTGAAAGTGCGCGACAGCTATTTTTCACAGTTCAGTGATAGCGCGATCGCGAAGATAGAGCGAAGTCGCGTCGCGTTATTTGCGCCCTTGATGATGATTATCGGATGCGAGCGAATATCGGGAGTGCCGAATAAAGTGTCGCACGTTTGCGTTGATGATATCGTGTGAGTTTGTGTGCATCAAGATCGGAATGGGACGTCCCGAGGCGAGCGAGTGGTGCGGCCTGTGGAACAGCCGGTGAACGGTGAGTAAATGTGATTTATCATATTTGCGTGACAATTCGTGCTCATTCGACGCTTATACAGTATCGCGATGTCCTGAATTACGTTCGAACAAATCGGCGCCGCATCATAATTCGATGCGATGCCGTGCAATTCAAATAAAGTCGATCGCGTGAAGATGGTTAGGCTAGAAGCGATTTCAAATTTATTTTATATACGCGCAGTGCTACACAGCCTATCTCGTAGGGCTGCCAACTGTTAAATTTTTTCGATCTAACCCATGGACGTAAGAAATACTGGACAGAGGCCGGTATTCATAGTCCGGTCTTATATTTAAGATTGTCTTAAGTCTGGTCCGAGGTTGACTTAAGACCTCATTCAACCAATCAAATAGTTGCGTAGCATTCCAAACTCGAACTTAAGACGATCTCAAATATAAGATCGGACTATGAATACCGGCCAGAGTGTATTGCTGCGGGGGTGAAGCTCAAAGGGTGAGGGGAAAGAAATGTCTACTGCAACGGAATATGAGGCATGTAAGATGGCGACGGATATTAATTTCACGAAGTGTGATATTTTTGAATTTCTTAATATTCAAAAATGATTCGGAATAACACAGCAATTTCAGATGATAGATGATTTCACGGAATCTCTCATATTTTATTCGATTTACGTCCGTGCGACGTGAAAATAGACGCTAAATCTGATGCATCTAAGATGGCCGCGACAATAAACCCCTTACCCCTCAGATTTCACTCCTCTCGTCTAAAAGAGTACTTTATGCTCTGTCCAGTATTTCTTACGTCCATGAAATATCCGAATAAAAAGGCTAAAACTTGACCGATCTTTTTCTAAGGATTGTCCTCTATTTTTGACAGTAGAAAGGAGAAAGACACGTTTGTAAATATAGACGCCGTCTCTCTCATTCGGCTCCGGTGTTCGAAGCAGATTATCCACATCCGCGCATCCCATCTAGGTGACACGTGCCCAGTGACAGGTGGACGGCGGTGGCGGCTGCGCGCTCCCTCCCCGAGCTCGCCAGCGCGCAGACCAGTAGCAGCGAGTCGCGCGAGTACGTCGGGTGAGACGATATCGAGGTCGACTCGGGAGTTGTCGCGTCGAAGATTACGGGAAGGATAGGCGAAGGCTGTCCAATTTTGTCCGTCGTTGTCGTCCCGTATGCGCGTCCCTCGTCGGTGCGTCCGTTGCAGCCATTGTCCCTGACATGGAAGCCTATCAAAATGGCAGAGATCGCGCACATGTTTTTGTTCCTATATAAGTCCAAGTATCGTCGGAAAGCTCAGTGGCGGCGATCTCGTCGTGACGGCGGCAACGGCGACGACGACGACGACGACGACGAGGTCGCCGCGGTGCAAGACCCTCGACGGAGACGCGGCCATGGCAGCGACGCCGGGGTCGCGGTGCCGTGGGCGACGTTCCTACCGTGGGCGGTGCTCGTCTGCTGCTGGGTGATGCACGTAAGCGACGCCGCTTCGTCCTCCTCTTCGTCGCCGATAGCGGAGGTGAGCTGCGACCTGGACACCTGCGTCAACGGCGACTGCGTCAATGGCAGCTGCGTGTGTCGCGAGGGTTGGCAGGGCACGCACTGTCAGTTCTGCGGCGGGAAGGTCAGGTGAGCGCTCTCTCTCTCTCTCTCTCTCTCTCTCGGATCAGCTGTCACAGGGAGGAGAGTGACAGCAGGTCCCCGGGTCTCGCTTCGCGAGAAATTTTCTCCGTTCCCCTTTTTTTCTTTTTTTTTTTTATATTTATTGTATCTCTCCGTCTATTGTTCGTCCAGAGGACGACGTGCGTGACATGTCCCCGTAGAGTGAGCCTGGTATCCCATACACGTACGGGCGTACGCGCGCATCGTCCGTGTCAAGTGCAACGGTATCTCGCCACTTTCTAGGTCGTTCTTGTCGCTTCGATCGGCGTGTTCCGGGTGACGGAGAGAGATTCAGCCACCTCTCTCCTCTCCCTGCGCGACGTAAATAAACGTCTGCGTGCGTGCGTGCGTGCGTGCGTGCGTGCGTGCATGCATGCGTCTCTTCGAAAGAGAATCTCTCAAGCTCGTTCTTCTTCCTCGTGTGGCTGCACCTTAGCTTCTTTGTTCTACTTTCCTTTCATCTAGGCAATTATTCGTTGTAAAAGGAGCGATGGTTGTTTAATCGCGTTTTGTTGGAAGAATAAAGAAAAAAACGAGAAGAAAACATACAGGGCAAGCAAGATCAACGTATTGTTGTCTCGAGATATATATGTATCTAACAATAAACGAAGCAGAGTTCATATCTTGTGATAACACTGATCACTGTGAGAGCTGTGACAGCCTCTGGGGAGGATCAGAGATTAGATTTGCCTGATCAATCGATGGATTATCGCCGTTAAAAGCAACGGGAAATGTGCTCTCTGTCCTGGATACTGACTAAACTTGTTCAATCTAGGAATAGAGCATAAATAATTTGTCCATTTGTACATATGAAACATTTTCGTCTTAAGATGTAGTTGTTTGAAAAGTTTAGATTATCAACCTGAAATATAAGTTAACTAGAAAAGTCCAGAAAAAATGAATGATACATTCCGGTTTTTTTACGGTCCCGGATTTTATCTAATGGAATAAATATTGGCAAAAAGTATACAGATAATTAATATGTAACACTAAGATATATAATGCGAAAAAAATATTTTTTACTTCAATTAATAAATCATACTAATTATTATAGATTAAAAAATGAAATCATATAATAATAAAGTCTTTTTTAATTCAAATTAATATGTGAAATTTTTGAAATAAGCAATTTTAGAGATGTAAATGTTATTAAATTTTATATCAATAAGTCAAAATATCAATATTTTAATTTAATAAGAAAAATATAATAATAACCAAATTAACAATTTTCAATACAGATATAATTTGCGTTTACACCATACAATAATAAAAAATTAATTTATTCGCTACGTCGATTCTAATATATGTTTTAGGGATTTTAATTTGAATAAAGCTCGAGTTAGAAGACACTTTTTCAATTGAAAAATATAAAAAAAAGGTTTTCTATTTATTTTAATATTTTTAATAGAGAAAACTAATTTTAATCATTTTTTTCGAAAAAATATTGATTTTTATCATTGAATTTTATCCAAAAAATGTAAAATTTTGCCACCTTGGAAAATTTTAAGTCATCAATTACACATCACACATACATATATTTAAATATAATCCTATAAATATAATCTTCAATAAATAAATAATTACTTTTTGCATAAGCAATAAATATTTATATATTGTTTTAATACATATAATAATAAATTTTAGCATCAAGTTAAATCACGTAGATGCTCTTACGAAATTCTCTTTTTAAATTGGAATCTCATTTTAAAATTGACTTTTTACATAGAACAAAATTTTGACCATGATTGCGTTTCAAGTAGGGCAAGTTTTTTTTTTAATTTGAAAAAAGTATTCGGAATCTGTGTAATCAGTGCATATAATAATCATGAAATATTAATAGAATAGAAATAGAATTCACATTTCGTCCTGGTTTATATTTTATCACCACGCACTCAATTCCCATTCGTAGCCGGATGTTCACGTTTGAAGTTTCTGAAATAGAAAATGTCAAAGGTATATATGCACACTTTACTGATCAGTCATCATGTTTTCGTCATGAGAACATTGGAACATACGATCGGAGTCGATGGAGATATTCAGAGGATATTCTTGAATATTTTCTTAGATATTTAATGGATATTCAATGGATATCGAGAAAATATAGGTACTATTCCGCTATAGATATGACATTCTTGCTAACTATTCTTACTCCCTTTTAAATATTTAGCGAATATTTGAAGACATTCACCACGAGTATTCTGTCAATATTCTGGATTCTCCTCTTGGAGAAAATCCTCTTGGATATTCCTATATTTCGCAACATCCAGATTTCTGAATACCGTTAATGATAAAAATCTTCAATAGTATTTATTTTTAAATATAAATATAAAATATATATAAAAAGTGAAGTAAAATATATATAAATATAAGAATCTTTCTCAAATTTCAAACACAATATTTTTTTCCTCAAATTATAAATATATTATGAATTAAATTTTGTGATATATAAATTAAAAATTTTATTTTATAATAAGGGCATTGGTTTATATATTTTGTCTTTAATATTTTGAGATTTTTTTTTATAAATTGTTACAAATATAAAATAAAATATTTCGATTTTGATTTCAATATCGTGTTTTGGACATTCCGGAAATTGCAAGGAAGTTTTTTTCTACAGCTCAGAAATATTGAATATTTCCTCACGGTTCTTAAATTTCACGATATTTTTCGGAAAAGTTTCCACCGAGCAAAGTCGAATAGTCACCCGCATTCTAGAAATATCGAACTTTCGCATGAAATTTTCTGCCTTTCTCTAAAAAGTTAATCCTGGTTCGGAGCATCACAGTGCCAGTGACAATGATTGATAGACATCGCGAGCGTGAATAGATCGCGAATAGGGCGCGAGCTTTATCTTCTTTTTTGCTTCATCTTGCACTTTATATAACACTATTACGATGCAGTCTTTCTCATTCTTTTTTTCTCCTTTCTTTACCATTATACATGTATAATTTTTGTATACAAAAGTTGATTAGTCGAAAATCTGAACAGTTAAATCGTTACGTATACTTGACTTTAGCTTAAATAAATCGTCTGTCAAGTTATTGAACGAGCGGAAATTGTATATTAAAGTATCTCAAAACACAATGATTTGGATATCTTCTACTTGCGAGTTAAAAAATGTAAGATTTATAAATTCATATCAATATTTCGATTTTACACAGTAAAAAATTGTGCGTCCATATGTTAAAATTTTCTTGTGTTACCACGTTTTGATTAATACTTCAATGTAAAATTAACATACAACCTATGTTATTATTTTTATAACGTTTTCATATGTAACATTTATGTCAACTTCATACTTAACATTTTGTATATATCTCTTAGAAGTGGAATATTATTTTGAGTATTTTTAACATTTAAATCATTTTAAACAATTAACATGTCTCAAAGTCAGTTTAACATTCTAAGAAAAGTTAAAGTGAATCTTCAAATAATCTTGAACTTTGACATACAAAAATAATCAAATTTACTAAAATCAAATGTTTCTAACAACATGATAATTATGAAACGAGCGATAAGAGCCTAAAAACGCGGATGGTAATATGTAAATTTTTTTTTCCCAAACAATAATTGTGCGCGAAAAAAAATTTTTTTTTTAAGACGTGCACAAGGCATTTATACATATATTTTACAAATATTTAAAAAAAAAAATTTACGCATTACTTTCGCGTTTTTAGGCTCTTATCGCTCGTTTCATACTTATCATGTTGTTAAATAAATAGAGCCGTATTCTTTATACATTCAAATGTTTCTATTACAAATAAATTAAGTAAAAATAATTACTCTTATATGTCAATGTCCTCATCATTTTTTACGAGTTGTTGTAACTATTTTTTCATGTAATTTTTAATTAATTTGTGTGTTATTTTTACATTACACTTAAAGTCACAATAACAAAAATAAATGTAAAGTATTGTGTCAATTACTTAACATTTTTAGTTTGTCAAGTATACATACGACGATAAGTAACATACGACGAATGAGTTATTTTAACTTAAAATTTGGAGTGGACTTTCTTGGGACATGTAAAAAATGTTATAATTAACATTTTATTTTTTACTGTGTATTGTTAAATTAATTTCAAATAAAATTCGCACTAAAGACAATTTATTTTGGACAATTTATTATTTATTTAGCATCAAGAACGTTCTACTTAATTTGTAATCTCAAAATGACTGCAGGCAGCACGTCATAAATTTACACGACTTGCCGATGCATTTCCTTTATATGCACTCGCGCACTGCGTGCGACTCTTTATCTGTTTTGCGTAGCGATACACGTGACAAAAGCGTGCGAGAGAGAGAGAGAGAGAAAGAGGGAGATGAACAGATAGAGATGAGGTTTTCGGAGCATGTCTTTCATTGTGTTCGCGTAATGCGCTCGTCTGCATCGGCAATGTAAACTGTATCACCGTCGACGGGAGACACGTGAATGCAAAAGCTCGTTAGTTGGTTAGGCCAAGCTTCGTACAGCCGTATTAATTATGTCCCTCCACTCCCGTTTATTTCTCGTTGCAAATGCTGTGGCGCATCCCTGCGCATCCCTTCGCTTCTTCCCTCGAAGAGATCGATGAAGTTGCTCCGAAAAAGCGCAGCCTCTCCAAACGTGTCGCATTATCTCATTTAATTCGGGCCACATTGTATTGAAAATGCTGCTTTGCTTCGAAAAAAGAATGTATAATTAATTATACATTACTCGCGATTTCATTAGCTTACAACGTATGATTTCCAACAATCTGTTTATCAACTATCAATTATCGACTTTGAATGGATCGACAAATACGATTGATTCGAAACGAAAGAGTCAGGATTGATTCGGTTTGAATATTCTAATGAACTGGTGATGGACATAGATAGTGATTTACGAGGATAATTTTTATAATTATTGGTGTGAAAGGAAAACGACTCTTTACTCGAGCGCAGCGCTTATAACGTAATCGTTCGCGAGGTAATTGATCGATAATAGCC